TTACAGTAAGTATATGGACATGAATGCAGGTGCCCTTTGAGCAAAAAGACCTCAGATGCCCTAAATCTGGAATTACAAATGGGTGTCAGTTGCCTGACAAAAGTACTGGTATCCAAGCTAGGGTTTTATGTTAGAAAAACAAGTGCTCTGAAGTGTTGAGCCATCTTTCTAGTACCTTCTTTGCTTTTTAATTATTTGTACATTCTGCATAGTCGTCTATCGAACATGCAAGTGAAAAAGATGTCCTCCAATGCTGGGGACTTCCTCTTCACTCAGTTATTTTTCTTTGCTATACAGAAGATTTTTTTGTTTCATGAACTCTTATTGGTTAGCTGTTGCCATTAATTCCTAAGTGAATAGAGTCCTATTCAGAAAGTCCTTTCCTATACCTATGTCCTATACAGTAGTGCCTACGTGCTCTTCTTAGAACTATTTCCTCCATTTAGAAGCTCAGCCATTTTCCTTTTCCCTATTTGTTTGTTGATCTGAAAGTCTCTGTCTCTCCTCTTTTCTTAATATTTATTCATTTATTTATGTGTGTACATATTTGTGTGAGAGAGTATTCATGTACCTAGTGTTCTTTTAGAGGTCAGAGGACAACTCTGGGTGTTGGACCTCTCATTCCAGCCTATTCCAAGGCAGGAGCTATAGCTGTGTCGTGGGGATATATAATTATCTGGCATATTTATACAGCTATTCTCAAAATTCCAATGTAGGGAAGAAATGTGTAATTCTCCAATATGCCACATATACCGAGGACAGACAATGATACAAGATTCAGGAGGTCTTGAATTTATCACATGTCTCCTGTCTCTGCCTCCTTAGTACTGGGACTATAGGCATAGGCCACTCCCAGGCAGTAAAATGGCATTACTTAAAGTAACTTTACAAACAGGCTTTATAAGGAGGGAAGTCATTGGATGCCTGCAGTCCTCTGTTTTACTACTGTATCCTGAAGAAGATGGTCCATAATGGGTCTTTCACTGAAGCAATATTATTTCCATTATCAACTAAATTTAATGTTGCAAGAGCCTTTGTATTAAATAAAATGAAAGGAAATGTCAGCTTTGAGCATTGTGCTTGTAGACATTGGCTCTTGAATGTATTTGATTTGCTTAAAACAACTTCTTTGTGATGATTGATCTGGTCTATAATGTAGAGTTTACCAGGTAGGGAAAATTGGACTGTAACAAGACAGATGAGAATCTGTCAGTTTGTATTTGTACCAAATAGCAGATGTAACAAAACCTTCCATTGAATATACATATATATACATACATACATAAATACATACATATATATATTATAGACAACAACCTGAAAATTAAAACTCTAAAACTCTTCATTCTTCTGGGTTTTGTGGTGATGATTGTTTTTGAATAGAATATCACTTTGTTGCTCTACCTGGCTTTAAACTGCCAGTGATGCTCCTGCCTCAGTTCCCAAATACTAGGATTATAGATATGCACTGCCATTCTTGGCTGCTTCTATTCTTTTTATTTATTTTTATTTTATTTTTTCTTATTTTACATATCAATCCTAGTCCCCTCTCCCTCCCATCCATCCCATTCCCCATCCCCAGGCAGGGTAAGGCCTTCCATGAGGGATCATCAAGAAAATGGGAATCAGTCTACCACAAGATCCAGCAATCCCACTCTTAGGCATATACTCAAAAGATGCCGATTCATACAATGAAGACATTTGTTCAATTATGTTCATAACAGCATTATTTGTAATAGCCAGAACCTGGAAACAACCTAAATGTGCCTCAACTGAAGAATGGATGGAGAAAATGTGGTGCATTAACACAATGGAGTACTACTCAGCAGAAAAAAACACAATGGAATCCCGAAACTCCCAGGCAAATGGATGGATCTAGAAGAAACCATCCTGAGTGAGGTAACCCAGTCTCAAAAAGACAAGCATGGTATGTACTCACTCATATATGGATTTTAGACAGAGAGCAAAGGATCACCAGCCTACAATTCACACTGCCAGAAAAGCTAGGAATCAAGAGAGACATACATGGTCCCCTGGAGAAAGGGAAAGGGACAAGATCTCCTTAGCAAATTGGGCGCATAGAGGGAGGGGAGAGGGAGCTAGAAGAAAGAGAAGGGGAGAAGAGGAGAGGAGAGGAGGGCATGAGGGCTGCTTCTCTTAATAGTACTGAAGCAACAATATTAGCATCCCTGAGCAGGAAGAATGTCATTCTACTTTGCTACTTAGTAATTTTTTAACTTGCTGAAAAATAACAGTTCCATTTGGTGAAAAGAAATGCCATATGTGAAATGGTGACAAAGCAAGCATATGCTATTATACACTGCTAAAGCAGCCTAGCTATAAATGTGGAGTTTAGCCTGATGTGTTGCTGTAATAAAATATCTTAGAATAGTGGTTCTCAACCTGTAGGTCTAGACTCCTTGGGGATCACATATCAGACATCCTGCATATCAGATATTTACATTTGATTCCTAACAGTCGCAAAATTATAGTTATGAAGAGGCCACAAAATAATTTTATGCTTGGGGGGGGTCACCCCAACATGAGGAACTATTATGAAAAGGTTGAAGCATTAGGAGGGTTGAAAGCCACTGTCTATGATTTCTAAACAACAGAAATTCACTGGTCACGATTCTAGAAAGTATGACATCTAAAAAAGATCAAGTTCCAGATGACAGACTCAAGTCATATGAAGACTCTGCATTATAGATGATGCCATCGAGTGCCCTCACATGACTGAGGCAAGACAGCTACCTGGGGCGTCTTTTATGAGGGCACTAATACCATTGTTGAGGGCTCCATCCCTTTGACCAAATACCCTATTTTCAATACTGTCATGCTGACTAAGTTTCAAAACTTGAATGGAGGGTAAGAAAGTTACTAACATTCAGATCAGAGCATGAAATAAATATGCATAGCTAAGAAGTTACTGCCTAGGAGCCAGCTAATTTTTCACAGAAGTGAGAAAAAAAAAAGCGAAGTCATGAATAGTGTTCTTATTTATGCTTAATTTCATAGGACTGAAGTCCAGAAATGCTTCATATAAAATCCCCTATCTGCAATTATGGGCTATATACTCAGACAGGAGACAGAATCATGGCCTCTGCACAGCCTAGGACTTGTTTCATTAGCTAAACTGATCTTGGACAGAAATTACTTAGTCTGTTAGTTCATGATATTTTGTTGTTTTGACTTGATATTTTTTTGAGACCAGCTCATCTTATGTAAAACCAAGTAGGCCTGGAACTTACTATGTAGACCAGGACGGACTTGAGTTAATCCTATTGCCTCTGCCTCCAGAGATTTTGGTCTCCCAAATACCCCACTTTAAAATACCAACACCTTAGTGATTAACTTACAATGCTTAAATGGAAATAGGGGGTGATTACTAACATTCAGACCTGAGCATGGAATTGAGAAGGAAAGTGAAGTACATGTAGTATTCTAATTTGACTAGAAGTGCTTATGTAACAAACAGGGTGCATGCATGCTTCAGCATGGGTCTTCAAGTCGAACAATTTCTAGGAGTCTGTTCTTTCTGGCATTTGAATTCCAGGGGTTGAACTAATGTCGTCAAGCTTGGTGCCAAGTGCCTCTGAGCTATCTCACAGGCCTGTCTATATATTTTGGAGACAAGGTCGCATGCAGACTAGTCTGGCCTCAGACTTTCATTTTTATTATTATTGTTATTGCATTGTTTGTTTAGTTACTGTGGGTGCACATACATATGTGTACACAGGTTTGTGGAGGTCAGTTATCTTCTACTACATGGGTTTCTAGGATCCAAATCTGCTAGTCAAGCTAGGTGACAAACACCTATAACCACTGAGCCTTCTCACTGGCTTATAGCCTTAGAAATTTTATGTGGCCAAGGATGATATTGAATTTTTGATTGACCTGCCTCCATGTTCTGAGTTCTGGGATTACAGCTGTGTGCTACTGTACCCAGATTATGTAGTAATGGTAATAAAAACCTGGGTTTCATTGTGCATGCTAGGCAAGAAGTCTACCAACTGAACTACATCTCTATCCCTATTACTGCACTTTCAGGCAGACTTACTATATAGCCTAAGCTAGCCTGTAATTCATGGTCATCCTGCCTTAACCTCTCAAATGGTGGTACAAGCACTCTTGGTGCTAGTACATCCCCCCATACATAATTAAAAACAATAAAATTAATTTAAAAATAAAAAATTCAAACACATTATTGAATCCCAAGGAAGCATACCATATGAGATAAGATCATATTACTAAGAAATATTTTTTAAATTAGGAGTTAGCAATGTTTGTCTGAAAAAGATTGGGATTTTTGTGTGTGTTATTGGATGATGGTGGTGGTGGTGGTGGTAGTGATTACTCCAGGACCTAGGGAATGCTAACCAAGTGTTCTACCCTCTGGCCACACCCCAGCCCATGCATACCAAGTATTCCTTGCATACAGGCCATTTAATCTCTGTTTTAAGGACTCATGTCTATTGTTGTAGTAACACAGAAGCAACCATACAAAGCAAGTAGACAAGTGGGTGTGGTGGTGTGCCTGTCCAAGTTAGTTTGTAAGACTAGGCAGCAACAGATGAGGCCTTCAGATGAGGCTACTCTTATCATTCTGTTTATTTCAGTGTGGTTTTAGCATCCTGATGGAGGGCTGTTCATTTCTTGTTCTTTTCTTAATGCTATAGATGTATCCCAAGGCCATGCATACAGTAAATAGATCATCTATCACCAAGTGATGCATTCAGCTAGAACTGTTCTTCTTTTTTTTTTTTTCTTGTTCTTTTTTGTTTGTTTATTTATCATTGTTTAGAGACAGTCTCTCTGGGTAGCTCAGGATTGCCTCTTTTTGGGAATAAGTCATGTATAAGCAATTCTGGGTCACCCAAAGTGGGTGTTGAGAATTGAACTCATCTTCTACAAGAACAATGGTATGCTCTTAACACCAGGTAATCCTGTGACACTGGTAGACAACACAACCAGCACATTCTTTCTTCTTGCATAAGTATCATGTTCCTCTTTATATGTATCAAAACGAATACTGAGCAATGGATTCTAGGTTGCAAAAAAAGGGGGGATTTATTTTCACACTTATCTCCGTTGCCTTTGTTCACCAGTTGAACAAAAACACCCACAAGTGCTACCAAGAAATGTTGCCTGGCACCAGCGAAAATTCTTATTAGATAAGCCTTCTGTGACATTTCCTAAAGAACCTCTTTGGCATTTAGACCAAATATCCAATTAACTTTATAACTGCAAGTTATATTTAAAAATGGTCTATGATTTAAATCTTTGAACTAGTTGTCATATGGTAATTCAAACTGATCTAAAAATATCAAAGAAAAAACATGTCATCTTTTGCTATCAGAACTCTGCTTCCAATTTAATTTAAAATAATCTTGTAACATTTATCTTAAATCTCATTTTTGGTAAATTGAATTGCATTGTCCTATTGTTAATGAATCATAATGTAAATATCTGATATGTAACCCCCAAAGGTGTTGTGACTCATAGGTTGAGAATCACCTCCCTAAAAGGAACACCTTCTCCACGAGCTGTGATTGCCCCTTTTCCTCCTCCAACTCTTCTCCCTAAAAACTACTAGCTTACCTTTTTTTTCCTAATGTAACTAGAATCATAACAATACATGGTCTCTGGAACTGGTTTCTTTACATTAGCTTGATATTGCAAAGTTCATCCACTCATTCACTATCTGTTTCTTTAAGTGTTTTTTTTTTTTTTGCATATTTAGTAGATACAGACTCCAGTATTTAAAAGTGAGAAGTTTTGAAGGAATAGTAAATTGGGATAGTATTTTAAAATAATTATATATGTATAGTCTCTTTCTCTCTTACACACACACAAGAACAAGAGACACGGACTCTAAAATTCACCAAAATGTGGTCAAAATATATTCAAGAATTAAGCAACCAAATACAACAGATAAATCACATCTGTTTGTTTGTTTTGTTTTGTTTTGTTTAATGTAGACCATCATGCATCGTCTTTATAGATTTTTCAATGTGCTTTTAGCAGAACTTTCTTTCCCTGAAACCTTCAATGTTTGAAATTCACATTCTGATGAAGATTTAAATCTGAATTTTCCACTTTATAACCTTGATACATAAGATGATGAATAGGGGCTAGCAATAATACCATCCTTGCAAGTTGCAGTTTTATTCATACTTATTCTAAAAGCAAAGTGGTATAATCCTAGCACTCTGGAAGTTAAACCAGGGGTATCATCTTGAGTTCCAGGATAACCTAGGCTATAGTGCAAGGCCATGTTTCCAAAATCAAACCAAAAAGTCGAACAAGATGCCTTAACTGCTAAAATTATTGCAGTGCTAGCCTAATGATGCTGTGGGATAACCCTTTTGTACTCTGTGAATATGCTTTATTCCCATTGGTTAATAAAATAGCTATTTGACTTATGCCAATGCAGGATAGACCCAGGCAGGAAATCCAAGCAGAGAAGCAGGAGAAAACGGGCAGAGTCTGGGAAGATGGCATCCAGACACCCAAGGGACAAGATATCAGAGAACTGTTATGCCACAGACCATGTGGCAATTTATAGATTAATAGAATTTGGTTAATTTAAGTTGTAAGAGCTAGTTAGTAATAAGCCTGGCCAAACGGTTTGTAATTAATATTAAACTTCTGAGTGATTATTTTAAAAGTGGCTGTGGGAGCAGGTGGCACAGAAGAGCCTCCCTCCATTTACATAATGATAATCTGAGTTCCTTATCTGGAACTCAGGTTGACAGGAGAGACCCAACTCTTGTTAGTAGTCATTGTATATCTGCACTGGCATACACAATAACACTCGTGAGCACATATTGGATGAGTTGTGTTTGGTGACCATAGTTGCAGGTTGATGGAGAGAAGGCAATTCTCATTCCTACGATGCAAGTTGATTTCTCAAGGCAACCCAGAATATCGACACAGTGAACCATGGAATGACAATAATTTTAAAAACTAAAACAATGCCAGGCATCATTGCATAATCTCAGCATTCTCAGAGGAAGTGGCAGGAGGATCTCTGTGAGTTGTAGGCCAATGAGGAACACATAGAGAGAGAGAGAAATAGAGAGAGACTGTTTTCTAAAAAAAGTCTTAAAACCTAAAGAAATCAAATAAAAATTTTAAAAATATGGCATGTGTCAATGAGGTAGATGAGGTAATTAATAGCACTATACCAAAAGTAACACAAAATTTCTGTAGACAAAAGCAAGACATTCTGTAATGTAGTGTTTTATGACTGTAAGACAAGAGTCACGAGCCTTATATGTTTCTAAAGAAAGTCTGTCCAATATAAAGACCCCACCCCACAGTGAAAATCTGTAGGAGGTTGGTTCCTGGATTCTTGTGCATGTTCAATTCCTTAAATTGCATTTACATCTAATTTAATCGAATCCTACAGTGTACTTCAAGCCATTGGATAAATGGTAGCTGCATTATTTAGAAAAGAATAATGACAAGGAGGAAAAGTCCCTATGTGGTCAGTAAAAGATAAAATCAAAAAATACTTTCTGGCCACGGTTGACTGAATATGGCAGATAGGAGGAGGCCTGGTACCCTTGGTGATTTATCTTTTCAATGGATTAAATAGATGAGAGCTCAAGCAATCAGTTTATCCATTGATGCTATCAGCAGTCCTTTATTTTGGGCAAATCCTTAGCTTTTGTTTTGCAGATGGAAACCTAGGAGCCCAGAAGGGAAGCCCAATCCCAGAAACACACCTAAATACCCCTTTTGTTTTCTTCATAAGAGGACTTTTTTTTTGCTTTTTTTTTTAAGTCTTTAATGTTTTACTCATTTTCCAAACCTCCTTGAGGCTTGCTGTACAAAGGACCCCTTTTCTAGGGTTTTCAGCTGAGTTCTTTTCACACATTGTTTTCATAATCGTTCAACATGTCTTTAATATATTTTATCTTGAATTGTTTTTCCATTATTTAACTTGTGTTGATTTTGCCATTGTGTTAATATTAGAAGACAAATTCCTTGTGTTCTGTACATATGCTTTTCAAGAAATACTTCTCATCATAATTCAAGGGCAGTGCCTCGCAGATACTTAAAAAAAAGAATAGTAATAGATTCATTTATTTGTTTGTTTGTTTGTTTATTCATCCATTCATTCATCTATTCATTAGTTGGTTTATGGAGAGGACAACTTTGCCCAAACTGTCCTCAGTCTCCCAAATTCCTAGTATGAGAGGTGTGTATCACCATGCCCTTTGCTTAAGTGAATATTTTAACAGACAGCAAAGACAAGAGGCGCAGGGACACTTTAAATTTAAAACACCCAATGGTGACAGTGGCTTCCAGTGACACTATAGAAATGAAAACTAATGTTGGTTTAAAATGCCCAAATCCTATCAAAGACATTTCAACCAACTTTTGCTTTTTATTCTTATTTATACCAAAATTCTGAAATAGCTATAGGTATGTCTTAACACTTTTTTTGACAAAGTTTTATGAAACATAGGGCCTGCCTTAGCTGACACTCAGACTAAGGGTAACCTCTGCAGTTAGAAAAGCATTTCACAAGTGCCTAGTCAAGGAATTAGCATCTGTGACTCACATATGTTTTTATTTTGAGTTGCAAACATGGAAAGCAATCCCCAGTAAACAATGGAATGATTATTGACATTTTCACTCCCCAGTTCAAAATACTTAAAGAATTTTGCAGGTCTACCAATTTACTCCATGATTAGTATTTTACTTACCTGAGAAGTCTTTAAAATCACATTTCATTGTAATAAAAATTATATGTCAGAACACATTGAATAGAAATGTAGAATCAAAGGAATACAATTATCATATAAGACATAATTATTAAAAATAATGAGAGTTTCTGTTTGTTTTTCGAGACAGGGTTTTTCTGTAATCTTGTGTGTTCTAGAACTCACTCTGTACTCCAGGCTGGACTTGAACTCAGAGATCAGCTTGCCTCTGCCTCACAAGGGATGTGCCACTACTACCCAGCAAAATAGAGTTCTTGAAAATAAATTGTGAAGTAGGTATACAATTAGTTGACACAAATGGGACTAAGGCTGTGACTCAAAAGTAGAACACTTGTCCAGCTATGCTCAAAGCCTCAAGTTCAATCTCTAGTAAACGGATATGGTGGATCTCTCTCTCTCTCTCTCTCTCTCTCTCTCTCTCTCTCTCTCACACACACACACACACACACACACACGTAACTTTAAAAACAATACAGTACATCAGTTTGATAAATAATTTAATGTTGAACTGACAAAGATTCTTTTAAGATTCTATTATATAAAGTTTATGTAATCAAATCACATCATAGTACAGTATAAAAAGAAAGATGCTATTTTCTAATTTTATTATTAGTTTTCATTTTTATATTTATTAACTTATTGTTGCCAGGTGGTGGTGGCCCATCCCTTTAATCCCAGCACTCTGGAGGTAGATAGGCAGGCCTACACAGAGGAAATGTCTCAAAAAAGCAAAAAAAAAAATGCATTGTGTACGAATATGTGTATGAGTTCAGTTGTGTATGCTATGACATGCCAATGGAAGTCGGTGGGCATCTTTCCTTCAACAATGTGGGTCCCAGGTATCTAACTTAGGTTGTCAAGCTCGGTAGCAAAAACCTTTACCCTGTTGAGCCATGATCTTTCAAAAACTTTTATTGGTTTATTATTATTATTATTATTATTATGTTTTTCTTTGTGTCACCCTAGCTGTCTTGGAACTCTCTTTGTAGACCAGGTTGGCAACAACTCAGATCTACCTGTCTCTGCCTCCCAAATGCTGGGACTAAAGTTGAGATAATTAATCTATTGTTTAATAACAAAAAATACAAGATAAAAAGAAATTTAACACACCAGCATAGCACAAAATAAACAGACAAGGGCCCTCAGAAAATGTCTGTGAAAACCTGTGGACTAGATTGAAAAGGTGTTGGAAAAAGCAATGGGAAAATGGAACATCGCGTGTAGCTAGGTAGAATGCACAAGAAAAAAAAACCTAAAAGATAAATCAGATCCTTTTAGGAGCTTCAAGGAGGACAGGAAGAAATGCTTTCAAATTTCATGTGATATTGATTTGAAGTTATTTATCACAAACTTGCGATGGGTAGAAAATTCGAGACAGAAAGTAAGAGCTAAAAA